TTTCTCTGCAAACATACGTATCTTTCATTTAAAAAAATTCGGACACGCATTATTTTTTGTTATAACATATACGTCGCACTAAATTAGAGGAAAGCGAACAAATTCATTATTCAATTCAATAGAAAAATATTTGAAAAAATATTTGATCATGACACTTTCTCTATATTAAAATTAAGTCACTTTCGGTGTGTTATTTTTACAATGGAAATAATAAAATACTCCAAATAGTTCAAATCGTTATATTTCAGGTAAAATTTGTCCATGTCTGAATTGAAATAATTGTATGTCTAATGGAATGTAATTATGTATTAGAGGACTTACATTTTTTCAGAAAAGTAGTGATTTTTATGGATTAAATAACTAGGCAAGTATTATTCGCAATATCTCATCATTATGAAACAAACATCATTATGGACATAATGACAAACAAAATCAAACCTAATCTACTACTGGCCCAACAGAAATTTTACTCGCAATGTCCAGTCAACTTGACGAATTGATCAATTTATTAAACCTAAATCTAATTAAAATCTAATGTAATTCTGTTCGTAATGTCTAATCAGTTTAATAAATAAATTACCAGTCATTATGAATAATATTGAAGCAAATAATCTTAGTCTAAAATCTAAATTATCCACGTATATGAAAACATATATCCCCAAATTAAAATTTAGGGACTAACAGCCCAAGAAATGGCTGAGTCCAACGCCAAATGTTAATTTTATCAAGAGATTTTATCAGCTATTGGTACACGAAAAGAATAGAAAAATCTCAGATACGTAATTGTCGTGTTAACCAGCGTACCAAGACTATCGGTTTCATCTGATCTACGTGTAATGACGTAGCAACAGATAAAATGATTAATGCGAGATGCTTCTGATGTAAAGAGACTCATCTGCGAGCAGTAATTTACCACTTCGCCGATCAGTTATATAAGCAATTCACGCAACTACACGTGTACACACAACTTTCATCCGGCTATGGAATTTCACGGTTATTAGCCGTTTCGAGGGAACGAAATGTTTGATTTTCTTTCACGGTTCGCTCTTCGCCGGTCGCGAGTTCGCATCGTCACGACTGATGAACTTTAGCGGTGATTCGCCTTCGGGCGAGCACGGGCAACAATGGCACACAGGAACGGAGTTTCGCAATGACAGAAAACGGGCCATCGCGATGGCACGATTTTATGAATTACGCCGCGCGGCGAACAAACGACGATTGTTACGATTTATTCCGTTCTCGCGGTTGCACGCTCTCGTGTAACAAGATCGAAGATAAACGGTGATTTTTATCAATCGCCGAATCACAGATACTCGGGGCTGCGTCTCTTGCTTGATCGATAATCGATTCGCCGAGAAGAAGAATCTCGCTGCAGCGGCGGGCAGCATGATTGAAAAATTAGCCGATATTTTAGACCATTGTAACTTTGTTTTCGTTCCAACGGTGGAAAAGTAAGGACTCGAGAATTGTAAAAATATTCAAATATTTCTAGAAACGTTGAGAAAATGTTTACTAGAGCCCATCGTGAAGATTCGAGAATCGACGTCTCTCCTTAAAACTTGCGCGACTTCCTTCTTCTCTAAACTATATAAATAGTTCGAATCGTCAGTCACAACTTTCCCCCCCCCCCCTCCCCATAAATGAAGAATTCGTTCTGAATCTCGTCTACCAACGTCCATCGTTATTTAACAAAATAAATTGAAACTTCACGATAAAATCAAGATGCAAATTGCTCTTGAATTTTTCTTGTAGAACTCTCTGTTTCACACACGAAGATCATCATACACGCATGTAACTATAATTGTAAGTTCACGAGCTCGGATGCCTTAGTTAAATAGACTTGAATGTAAATCAGCGTTTCAGCGAAATATTCCAGACGGATTCAAAGATGCTGCCGGGATCGTATTTCACCAGAGCCGCGAATTTACCAACGGAGTAATCCGCGAAAATACTCGACGGCAGAAGCAACCGAGACGCATCAGTCTCTCTCTCTCTCTCGGAGTATAGTGATGCTCGAACCTCCTCCTCCCCCCGTTCTTTCACTCGATTTCCCTTCCTGCCGGCACTTTTCATTCTAAATGCACCTGTCTCCGTTCCATTTTGTCGGACAACAGCCGACGAGTCGCTTCTCACCATCGATTTCCCGTTTCGTTGTGCTCTAAGGGACGAAGGAAGAAAATTCTCGGTGAGATAATACTGGCTGAAAATCATTCTGGCTGTCCACGAAACTTACGAGAAATCGAAACTCGAGACTGAAGAAGCACAGAACTTCAAAGAATAGCTTAAATCGCAGTTCGAGTTCAGGGATCAAATGCAAGTTACCAAACTTACGAATTCTAGCCGAGTTCGATATCTAATTATTGTTTCATGGGTTCCGAACATTACTCGAAATGGAAGTAAATGTTTTTTCGATAAGTACACTCGTGGCCTATTCGTGACCAAGCTTATTCCGAACTTTGAAACTTGCAGGTCTTTGAAATATTCACAAGTAGTTCGTCGCATACGTCGATATGGCGAAGAAAAACGTCCCTGTTTATTCTCTATGTGAATGCAACACGCTTCGTCCAATCTAAAAATGTTTGATTCACACGTCGAAACGAACACGTTGACATCTCTCATCAATGTTTAAGTCCATTCGAAATTATTCTTTTCATTTCCGAAAATAATTCATGAAACATTCGACGAAACTGTTCCTCTTAGATTCGAATATATTTGGAAGTATACCATTGGAGATAAAGAATCATTTGTTAAGTACTCACCACAGATTATCTGCACAATACTCAATGCACATTCAAATGCTTGAAAGATGATGTCTGTGCCTTTAACGCGCTTCGTTTCCCATTTCAATCATGTTGTTACGTCCGATCGCGACTTTCCAGCTACTATAATTGCTTACAATTGCTTCTGCAATAAAATTCGATTCTGTCTAAGACGGTATCCCCCATGAATTGTAAAATAGTCGTCGAGTGGTTTCCACGTTTCATTAAGTTAACGACTGGCGAGCACTGTCGTTGTTTCGTCGGTTATATCGTCGATAAAAGTAATTGTTCTCGTTGGGACTCTGCCGTTTCCATGATTTCTTTGTTACCAATAACCGTGTTCGATCGTAGACGAGACGAACGAAACGTTCGGACGTTTTAAATTAAAGTATTGGCTCGGCAAGTTATTAAGAATCGACACCGAAATGCGGCAATTTGTGGTACATAAAAACGAGGATCGATGATACATCGAGCAACTTTGTTATATATTGAATATTATTGTATTTTGTTGGTCCACGTTTGTTATTTGTATGTAACAAATTAATGTAACTGATTTGAAGGGAATCAATTTTGGTGAAAATTGCACGTGATAGAGAAGATGCAATTATTTATAATGATTTTATCTGTATGAAATCAACGTTCGTAATGGAATTATTATTTTAAGAGAAAGAAGAGAAACAATTGTTTATTATATTATATGATAAAGTAATATTTCACTGATTAAGTATATATTTTTGCTAAGTAATAGATAAATGAACTTATCAATTGAACGGGTCAATGTGTGGAACATTGATTTTTCTCGTTTTTTAAACTCAATGTTATATCAATCCTTTCGTAATTGGACATTCCATTGAACCGATCTAAGAAAATTAATTTTCTCAGTCATTAATAATAAAAATGCATTTTTTTTTTTTTTTTT